ACATCTTCACCAATGTATCATAGCGCGCGTGTTACGATAGAACCCCTCAAATCGTCTATCCTCTACCCTCCTCCCCTTCCTTCGTTTCATATCGAGTTATAAGGAGGGCCACGGTATGCGCTGTTATTGCATCCATCGTGCGTGGAGTAATATCGAGATATCTTCCGAGGAGAAACATTCCGTTGACCGTTCCACTGTTATCGTGGAGATAAAAAAAAAAAAAAAGATCTTTTGTATTTCGATCGATAAAATTCTGAATCGTCGTTAAACAAGATCGATGAACAATTTTTTTTTATATATATATAATTTTGATCCTCTCAGAGAGAAGATTGAATAAATAATAAATAAGATTGAATAAGGTTAAATTATTTCAAACAATCTTCCGCGTGCGCTGATTCGCATAGATATCTGCGCAGAGGGGACGAAATTTCCTGAAAAATTTCAACCCGAAATTTGATACATCAGGTGTTGTTTGGAAGTTGAGGAAGGGCGCACAGTGACTCGCGAATTCCTGTTCCGTGTGAACACCTGGACTTGTAGCTGAGAAGATGGCGTCGCAGATAACATTGTCTCGCCTTTTGTCGGCCCGCTCGTCGGGATTATCTACGGCGCCTTTCGCACGATGCCACCTTTATATCATCATCGTGGTCAGGTAGCCGCTGTATAATTTAACGAAACGATATACTCAAAAACGTACGCTCCTCTTGGTGAAAGTATATATCTCCAGTTTTGATAATAGGAATGTAAGAAGAACCCGTTCCACTCTTCTCCGTTAAATTGAATTTGTAAAAATAATCTCCTTTCAAATTAATCTCTCTAATAGTAATTTTTAATTCAGAAAAATGATTATATTATCCCCTTCTTCCCTCCATATATTTAATTCGTATAATTGTTATTCAATAATTATTTTTCTCCGATTCTTTGATCGAAATTTTATCGATCTACAAATTATCCTTCGGATTAAAATTAATGGAGAATACGAGAGGAAGAAACCGGTGGAAAAGATTCAAGAAACGATGCTCTCGTATCGAGCACGTAAACATCTGCATTATTGTCCAACAATGTTGCACGCGGGGCAATTTCTCATCGATGCTATCGAATTCGAGGCATAACACAAGCTCCAATTTTTCTCACCGCGCCGGACGAATGTTAAACGACCGATGCGATCTACTACGTTCACCATACCTCGCTGCGGTTGCCAATTTATTAATCTTCATTTCTCGATGTTGCAACACAACGAAACACGCACGAATATTGGAAGAGTTTATCGGATCATTTTGGTAGGAAATGTGTGCAGTAGCCTTTAAACCCGTAATTGGCATCGTCCGTCAATGACAGCCGGACTGCTACCACACCCCTTTCGTTGCAACCCAACATTTGTGCAACCTGTTTCCGCAAATTACATTCACGATTTATCTCCCCCCTCTCCCTATTTTTTTTATCGCACTTGATTACAGGATTCACTTGGATCGATCGAACGAAAATTGTTTAAGATCGTTCGTTTACCAACAACAACAACAACAACAACAACAACACGCAACCTCATAACTTTCTTATTCAATTCGAAAACGGGATTTTTTCGAAAATACCATACGCATCCTTCCCTAAATTTTCAAATTAAATTTCCTTCGCAAAAACACTGAAACTGAACTGAAACAAAAACAAAACTAATTCAAGCACGAATAGCACGACTCGTTTGCTGAACTCAGCAAGAGTCGAGCCATACACATCCCATCGTTCCACAACTTTTCTCTTCGAATCGGAAGAGAGCGCGCAAGTTTCATCGCGCAAGATTCGAGGAGGATAGCGTTTATTCGGCGTGGCAAAAACCGTGAACCGATCTCGTTACCTGCCTCCCTCCCTCCCCGCGATTCGATGCGCGAACGTAGTCGAGAGCAATTACAAAGGGCGATACAGGAGGACGAGGACGGCGGATGGAGAAATCCGCAAGTGGCACGTATGCAGCCCGTCGTCTGCGAGGGGGTCCTGAATGCTGGGGTATCCTCTTTCCTCGAACCTCTTAGCGCTATTTAGCGGATCCTTTTACGGGACACCAGGTCCCCCGACAAGAAAGGAAAGCGCGGCAAACGGGCCGACCGAGCCAACAACGGAACAACAGGGCGAAAAAGAGGCGAGGCGAGGCGAGGCGAGGCGAGGTGAGGTGTTTCGAAGAGAGGCACCACGGTGCAACAACCAGAAGAAGAAGAGAAGAGAAGAAGAAAAAGAAGAAGAAGAGGAAGAGGAAGAGGAAGAAACAGGAGAAGAAGAAGAAGAAGAAGAAGAAGAAGAAGTAGTGAAGTAGTGGTGGTGAAAGGCGGAGGTGGAGTACCAAAATGGCGGCGGCCAGGTCCAGGGACAAGATAAGCCTTTGTGCCCGTGCAGGGGCCCCCGGGGGCCAAAGGATCCCCTCGTTTCGGTCTCATATTTCGCGAATCCCGCTATCATATTTTACTCCCCCTCCCCCTCCCCCGTCACCATTCGGCCCTTTCGGCCTGTCCCTCATTTTTTGCTCTCTCACTTTTCGGCCTCCTCGCTCTCGATCCCCCTCCATCTCCCTCGATTGTTCCTCGCTGTGGAGAGAGAGAGGGAGGACTGGCCTGCCTGTCTCTTGACGC